CAGGCTGGATTCAGCCGCTTTGCTCTCATCAGAGACTTGAGGGAGGCTCACCTCCCGAAAGGGCCGCACCCACTGCGACGCCCTGGCTGTGCGCTGGATCCAGTGGGTCCCCAAAAGAGCGCTGACCCTGAATGGCACATCGAGTCCGCGTTCCGGTCTCTAGGCAGCTGAGGCTGGGAGACTTGCGTTTTGAGATTACAGTTTGCCTCTCTCTTCAGACAGAGCCCTCCTCACCTCAAAAGCAAACTAGCCTTAGGCCCAGCTTCTTTCCCCACCATTCTCCCCGCCCGAGGAAGCACCTGATGCCCTGGGGAGCACTGGGGCTCTGAGACAGGTGACAGGCGACTGAGATGGCTTTCAGCTCTGCCGCTTCCTAGTTAGGGTGCCGGGAATCGCCTCACCCGTGGGTGTCTGTTTATCCGTAATACGGTGCAATGGTGCCTACCGACTCGGGTGCCTGGCGCACAGTAAGAGCAATGGAGGTGCTTGCTCCTGTTATAATAACCATCTGCAGCATGTGCTACGTTGTCTCTGCTTCACAGCGCGGGTCTTGTGAAGAGCAGAGGAAAGGTAGAGGGGCAGCCTGGCTCCCTGGCTTGTCCCCCTGGCTGGTGAGCATTGGGATTCCAGGCTCTGTCCTGGCTGGCGGGAGGCTGGAGGGCCCCGGAAAGTTGGCTGTACCTGAGGTGGCTGTGGGACGAGATGGCGGGGACCAGAGCAGCAGGTGAGAGGCGGCGGCCTATTGTCTCATCTCCCCACTCACCCAGGGCTGCGGGGAAGGAGGACAGATTCTTCCACTTAAGGAGCTGCGGGCACCTGCTCTGCAGCAGTCAGACTGCTCTGTCTGAGGGAGGGAAAGAGGCACAGGATGGGGGGGGCCTGGCTCTGCATGATCTGGGGCAAGTCATAGCTTCTCTCTGGGTTCCAACCCTGGTCTCTGTTAAGTAAGGGGTCAGAGGAGCCCCCTCTCACTGAAGCCCTTAGGCAGAAACGGGTGCTGCAGAAGGGCTCTGTTGGGATGAGATAATTATTTTAAATTTTATTTCAGGGCCTTTAGTCAGTACACACACTCTCTCCAGCTCATTGCAGGCCCCCTCTAACTGGCTTCACACATTTATGTCACATGTCTGGCTCTCCAGTCTTTTAGTTTGAAATCTCAGGCCTCTTCTGACTCTCCCATTGTGAGGCTTTAAAAGAGGCAGCCTTCCAGCCTGCAGGCCAATTATGATTTATGTGTATATTGTTTGCCCTGTCTGATGAAAAGGGGGGATTTAAAGCAGAAGTTTTCTGTCTAGTGCCTGAAGATCTTAGAACTTGGTGGAATCTTAGAGAAGAGACTTTCCCATGGCCTTCAAGGTACAGATCCCTTCTCCCAGCCCTGGCCCACATAATTCATGGCTGTTCCTGAGCATGGAGCGAAGTTGTCTCTGGGTTCATGCCTGACTTTCCAGCCCTCCATTCCCTAATGGCAGGAAACAGACTCACTTATTAAACACTCTGTGCCAGGGGTGTTATGTGTGCTGTTTATTAATCCTCCCTCAGTCCTGGTGCCGTTCCTCCTGCCTTACTGATGGGAAACTGGGCAGAGTCGCTGGGTCACTTGCCCAAGATCCCAGCAATAGAGCCTGGATTTGAACCCAGGCTGTGTGACTCGTCACGTGGTCCTCACACTGCCTCCCTACACCCTGAACTTCAGGGTGCTTCTGCTACGCCACCTGCAAGGTGGCCACAGCCTGGCAGTGTCGGGGAGAGGTGCCGATAAAGATCCATGGGACAAAGGAAGTCCTGGGCTGCCTCTCTACGGAGGCCTCCTTTACCCTTTACCCTCCAACTTCAAGCCCAGAAGACAACTAACTCCCCACCCCCATCCTTCAGCAGCCCCAGGAGCTAGGGTTGCAGAGAGGTGAGGACCCTCTGCTTCAGCAAAAGGATGGGGCCTGAGCCGGGCAGGACGGAACCGCCCCTTTCCTGCGGGCCTTTCGGGAGCTGTCCAGGGTGCTGGTCCTGACTGCGCCGCTTGCCAACTAGCCTCCCTCCCGCAGAGGCCCTGCCCTTGGGTCCTCCTGCACCTGTGGCTTCCTCTTCAACAGAACTCTTGGTAAATTCCTTTCTGGAGACTCCTTTTCCTAAACTTAACTTTACAGGCATAAGAGAACTTCCCTTCCAATCCTGTTGAAGAAAATGGAAGCATTTTCCCCCTCTCCTGTCTCAGCCAGACATAGGAACTGTTGCTACAAAGTGCCTACCTGGCACTCAGTGTATGTCAAGGGAGTAAAGGAAGGGATTTATGTATTAGACACAGGGACATGTTTGTAATGTGCCAGACACAGTTCTAAGCATTTTACAAACATTAACCCATTTAATCCTCTGACCAACCTTCATATTATCTTTTTACAGACAAGGACACCGAGGTAATAATAATTTACCCAAGGTCAGATTGCTCACATTTCACAAGTGGTGGAGACAGGACTCAAATGCAGACTATAAACAAACAAACAAACAAATAAAAAACCCCAAAATAAAAACATTTAAAAAAAACAAATGCAGACAACCTACCTCCGGCATCCAGCTCTCAGCCACCATGCTGTCCTGCTCCAGGATGGCTGAAGAACAGGAGGCAGGTTACTTGACAGTATCTAGCTCAATGCCTGATGCTTTATAGGAGCTAAATTGTGCTTTTATATGGGCAGAGGCACCTTGGTGATTTCTGGATGACACTTTTCATTTTATCCACAGGATACAGTTGTGGCTTCAGTCTGTTAGAGCCAAGTCCTTGTCACGCTGGGCTAGTGCTAGTGGAGCACATTGTGGACTCGGGGATTCCTGGTATATGGGCGCTTGGGGAGGGGGATAGCCTTCCTGCATCTGTGCCTAGGCGACGTCTGGTTTGTGCGTATGTGTGTGGGGGGGGTGTGGTATT